ATGATGCCAAGTCACAGGCCCCATCCTGTAGAAGCCGGTTAATGTCAAACAAAGGAAAGATCCGTTCCCTGGCTAAAACATGCACCTTGAATCTCAGCCAGCTCTTGGCTGCACGAAAATTCAGTGAGTTTACCCTTGATCATAGGAGGACCCAGGAAAGGGAATGTAGGTGAATCAATGCAAAACCAACATCACTCTTGAAAAGAAAATCTAAATATAGTCATTTCCTATTCACAATGTCAAAAGCATCGTCTTCTTAGAAGACATTATAGATTCTACAACTTGATGAAATTACTTTTTTTGTATCCTTAAATCCTTTCCTACGTGTTGATTATTGTTGGAATGCTGATGGTGACAACGGGCAGAATCTACATTAGGTTTGGGTCACAGAGTGACATGAGGTTCATAGAGAACATGTATTTCCTGGCTACAGTCAATAGCATAATGGGTTGTCTGACTCTCATATTTGAAATGAGTTGCAGTAAGGCTATATATACTCTTCTTTCATGGAGTCTCTTTCTGGCTTATGGTCACATAGAGATGGTTCTTTAAACTTTGGTGGAAGATTTACCAGGTTTTCCATTTTAAATTTATTTTTTTATTTTTTTAAAGATTTTATTTATTTATTTGAAAGACAGAGAGAGAGAGAGCACAAGCAGGAGGGGAGAAGCGGGAGAGAGAGAAGCAGACTCCCCACTGACCAGGGAGCCTGACTTGGGGCTCGATCCCAGGACCCTGAGACCATGACCTGAGCCAAAAGCAGATGCTTAACTGACTAAGCCACCCCAAGGCCCCTCCATTTTTACATTTAGATGAAATATTAAGACAAAACAAAAAAACAGAGCAAATAGTTTCATCCTCAATCCCAGAGAATGGGGAAGAAACCCTACCTTTCACTTCAGATTCCTCTCCCTAAAATACATCACCCAGAAATCCACATTCTCCTTTTCTTAGAGGTCTTCTGGAGCACTTCCCAAAGCATTATCTCTGCCATGATATTCTCCTGGCCCCCAATCCTTATCTCCTTACCTTGCTTTATTTTCTTTATAGCACTTATCTCTGTTATTACATTTGGTAATTACTTATTTGTCTTTCTTGTTCCCTGCTATATCTCTAATGCTAAAACAATGCCTGGAATAGAACAGGTAATCAATATAGATTTATTGAAAAATGATTTGATTAAAGTGAATATAAATTAATAAGTAGACATTATGACAGCAAGAAAATGACAAGCATATATGGTGACACATTTTTCAAAACAGCTTTGCCTTATTTTAAAAACACAACTTCCTTCCAATTACCCATTGTCTCAATCTGCCGAGGGAAAAGCCTTACAAAATCTGAATATTGGTTTAGTTTCTTGACAGAGTTGCAAGTAATCCCTAGTTCATTTATTAACCTTTTTTTCTTAACTTTTAAGTCAAGTTATTTCTTTTGGTCCTGGAGGTAAAATTGATATAACATAAAATTAACAATTTTAAAGTGTACAGTTTTGTGTCATTTAGTACATTGACAATGTTGTGAAACCATTACCTCTATCTAGTTTTAATGCATTCTCATTAATAAAATTATTTTTTTAAAAACTAATTATTCATCTTGGAGTGGTAGAAAACTAATCCATTACATTATAAAATGGTAAATAAAGGGAAAGAATCAAGTATTTATCTCAGTATCCCTAGGTAGCTACTACATGGGATAACCAAATACTAGATGAAGGAAAGTAGATATTTTTAAAAGTACTGACAAATGAAAATGAAATTAAAAGAAATTATTAATTTCACTATTTGGGACCCCCAATGAATTAGTGAATCTAGCCACTGAGTCTACATATGTACAAATATCACAAAAAGAAAGACATCTTGACATTCTGTGTCTTTAACAGAAGAGTACAATGCCATCTATAGTTTTGCCAAAGAGAGGAAATAGAATTTGTCCAAGCCTCTGCATTTAGTTGCAAGTTTTCTGGAAACAGAGAGAACAGAGAAACATGTTGAACCACATCATGATACACAATCAGCAAAGTCCAGACTGTGAGGAACTCTGTAGGCCCAACTACCTAAATTCTTCAAACAATAAATTGTAGGAAGAACAGGCTGGAGGGGAAACCTGTAGATTAAGAGATTTAAAAGACATAACAATTGTTGCTAATGGGCAATATTAAACAAAGTGTCTAAGGATGCACATTCAAAAAATGCAAAGAAATTATAAATATAGAAGTCATGGTATGGTTACTTTGGAGAAGAGAGAGATGAGACTGGCTGGGACAGGACATATAAACTTAAAGTTATATTTCCTGATCTGAGTAGTAGTCACAAGAGTGTAATTAAAAATTCATTAAGTTCAAATAAAATAAAATAAAATAAATATTCATTAAGTTCCCTCTAGGATCAGGAACAAGATGAGAGTGCTGGTTTTCACCACTGCTATTCAACAATGTACTAGAAGTTCTGTCCAGGGCAGCTGGGAAAGATATAGAAATAAAGGCATCAAACTAGAAAGGAAGCAATAAGTCTATCTTTACTCATAGATAGCATGATCCTATATATAGAAAACTCCACAGAATGCACACAGCTATTAGAGCTAATAAATGAATTCAGCAAAGTTGTAGGATACAAGAGCAGTACACAGAATTGAGTTGCATTTATATACACTCACAATGAACAATCTGAAAAGGAAATTTAAAAAAATTCCATTTACAATAGCATCCAGAAGAATAAAATACCTAGGAATAAATTTAACCAAGGAGGTGAAAAACATAAAATGAAAACTATAAAACATTGTGAAGGAAATTAAAAAAGACCTAATAAACGGAAGGACATCCCACATTCATGGATTGGAAGACATAATATTGTTAAGATGTGATTACTACCCAAAGTAGTTTACAGATCCGATGCAATGCTTCCCAAAATTCCAATGACTTTCTTGTGGAAATGGAAAAGCAATGCTCAAATTCATATGAAATTGCAAGGGGCTCTGAATAGCCAAAACAATAATAAAAAACAAGAACAAAATTGGAGGACGCATATCCTGATTTCAAAGCTTATTACAAATCTATAGTAATCAAAATATTGTGGTGCTGGGATAAAGATAACCAGGCAGACTAATGGAATAGAACTGGGAGTCCAGAAGTAAGCCCATGCATCTATGGCTAACTGATTTTGAACAAGGGTGCTGAAACCTTTCAATGGGAAAAGAACAGTCCTTTCAACAAACAGTGCTGGGACAATTGTACATGCACATGCAAAAAGAATGAAGTTGGGCCCCTTCTCACATATTATACAAAAATTGGCTCAAATGGATGAAGGACCTACATATAAAGCCATAAGAGTCTTTGGAGAAAACATAGGTGTAAATCTTCATGACCTTGGATTGGGCAATGGATTCTCAGATATAACACCAAAAGTACAAACAACAACCAAAATAAATAAATAGAACTTCACCACAATTAAAAATTTTTGAGCATCAAAGATCATCACTAAGAAAATGAAAAGACAACCTACAGAAAGAGTAAGAAATAGGGGCGCCTGGGTGGCTCAGTCATTAAGCGTCTGCCTTCGGCTCAGGTCATGATCCCAGGGTACTGGGATCGAGCCCAGCATCAGGCTCCCTGCTCAGCAGGAGGCCTGCTTCTCCCTCTCCCACTCCCCCTGCTGTGTTCCCTCTCTCACTGTGTCTCTCTGTGTCAAATAAATAAATAAAATCTTAAAAAAAAAAGAAAGGGTAAGAAATAGTTGCAAATCATATGTCCGTTAAGGGTCTAGTATCTAGGCTATCTAAAGTGCTCATAGAAATTACAAAAGGACAAACCACTCAATTTAAAAATGGGCAAAGGACTTGAATTGACATTTGTCCAAAGTAAATATACAGATGGCCAAAAAGTATGTGAAAAGATGCTCAACATCATTAACCATTGGGAAAATACACATCAAAACTATGAGATACCACCTCACACCTACTAGGATGGTTAAAACCACCAACAGCAACAACAACAAAATGCAGAAAAGAACAAGTGTTGATGAGGATGTGAAGAAATTGGAAGCCTCACATATTGCTAGTGGGACTGTAAAGTGGTCCAACCACTTTGGACCACAGTTTGGAAAACAGTTTGGCACCTCCTCAAACAGTTAAAGATAGAATTATGATATAATTCCATCATTCCACTCCTAGGCATTACCCAAAAGAATTGAAAACAGGCGCTCACATAAGTACGTGCACACATATGCTTATGCCAGCACTAGTCACAACAACCAAGGAGTAGAAATAGTGCAAATGACCATCAGTTGAGTCAATAAACGAACTGTGGCATATCCATACAATAAAATATTATTCAACCATAAAAAGGAATGAAGTAATGATACATGGTCCATCGTGCAGGAATCTCAGAAATATTCTGTTAAGTAGAACAAGCCAGACACAAGAGGTCACACATTGTATGATTCCATTTATATTAAACATCCCAAATAAGTAAATCCTTAGAGAAAGAATGCATATTGGTGTTTGCCAGGGACTGGGAGGAGGGCAGAATGGGAAGAAAATGCTTCATGGGTAAGAGGTTTCCGTGTGGAGTGATGGAAATGTTTTGCACCTAGACAGAGTTGATGCTTACCAACATTGTGAAAGTCCTGAGGGCCACTGAACTGTCCACTAAATGGTTCATTTTATGTTATGTGAATTTCACTTCAATAAATGATTTTAAATGCACTAAGCTGTTAAAAAATATAACCTACAATCCCACACATACTTCGTCATAAACTCTGTGGGATAGACTAATGTGTAAATGTACTTTTCTCTGGAGAAGAAACAAGAAAGGAGGAGGTGCATACTCTCAAATGGTAACTTTGGACAAGGAAAGGTTGGGCTCTCTTCCTGGCTCACATCATTATGGTAATTATTTCATAAAATGAAAAGTTTCCATTTCCCCCATGTATCCAGTTCATTCTAACACATTTCCTCTGGCTTACTGACAGCCCATTTAAACACATGTTTCTTGTATTTTACAGACATACTTGGCAAGTGCAAGACAAAATTGACGCAAACAATGTGGCTTACACAACTGGGAAGCTAAGCTTTCACACTGATTATCCAGCCCTCCATCATCCACCTGGGGTAAGGTGAGCCTCAACATATTTTCCACAAGGCAGGCCAAGGACCAATATCCAAGGACCAATATCCTCCTATATTTTGAGTCTAAAGACTCTATGTTTCACTAGCTAATTTGTCCTACATAGATCCTTCTTCAAGCATAATCCAAACACGAAATCTCTGTTCCTAAAATCCTGAATAGCCTGACATTCCCAAGGGATAGAAGATTTTGGTGTATTTTTTAAAAAATATTTCTTTGTTTCCTTTTGGAAATAACTATTGGCACTTTTTGCTTTGCCTAGACAAATTTTATGATAGCAGTACGTCTTGAGGTCCTTTTGCATATTTACCATTCCCAAGAGAGTTAAAAGAGAAAATGAAACCAGGGAACACAATGTAGGGTTTTCCCATTAAGTCACATGGCCACTAATCTTATCAGTTAGCCATCACTGCATAAAAACCACTTCATAATTTAGTGGCTTAAAAGAATACCATTGGGGTGCCTGGGTGGCTCAATCAGTTAAGCATCTGCCTTCGACTCAGGTCATGTTCCCTGGGTCCTGGGATGGAACCCCATATCTGGTTCCCTGCTCAGCAGGGAGCCTGCTTCTCCCTCTGCTGCTGCCCCTGTTTGTGCTCTCTCTCTCTCTCTCTCTCTCTCTCTCTCTTAAATAAATAAATAAAATCTTTTAAAAAAATAACTAGAATAGCCATTTACTTAGCACATGTTTTTACAGTTTGGGCTGTGTTCAGCTGGGCAGTTCTGCTGTTGGGCTGACTAGGAGCTGATTGACCTGGGTGGAAAACCTAAGGTGGCTTGTCTCTGCTCCACTTGATCTGTCATCCTCCAGCAGTGAATTTTCAGAGAGCAAGCCAAAACGTAAGGGCCTCTTGAGACCTACATTAGTAATCAGCACAATGTCAAATGGACGAAATAAAGTTTAAAAAATTAGACTAGAAGGGATGCCTGGGTGGCTCAGTTGGTTAAGCGTCTGCCTTTGGCTCAGGTCATGATCTCCGGGGTCCTAGGATCAAGTCCCGCACTGGGCTCCTTGGTCAGTGGGGAGTCTGCTTCTCTCTCAGCCTGCCGCTCCCCCTGCTTCTGCTCTCTCTCTCTGACAAATAAATAAATAAAATCTTTTAAAATAATAGACTAGAAAACTAAAGATTCTAATTTAATATTTTATTTATTTGCTATTTTTTATGAGTTTAGGTTTTGTTTCCAGGTTAAAATTGAAAGCCTAAGGCAAAGTGATTACATGGCTTTGTAAATATTCTTGAAGTACAATATAATGCTTGACATTTTCATAGCATTTTTTACTTTTTCAAAGTATTGCTACATATATATTATGTTGTCTGATCCCTCTTAACATTCCTGTAAGGCAGACGATTGATCATGTGTTTTTATGTTAGATGACAAAATGACACACAGCAACGTTAAATGCTTTTCACTGAGTGACATCGGATAAAAGGACATTTAAAATGGAACCCAGGCCTCTGATTAGTTAAGTTTTTTCACCATACCATGCTGCTCTTGAGCTGGACTTTCTAATTACCATAATTTACATAATGTGATGAGCAGAGACATCATCAGACATTACAAACTCTTTAAATACAGGAACTGAATCTTCCACTTCTATTGCAAGACTTAGCCCAGCACATTTCACATAATAGACTTCAAAGATATGCTATAAAGAGGCAAAAGAACACCACAGAGTTGTACCTGTCTCCATCAGTGAATGAAACATTCAAAGATAAGTGAACTGATAGAAGCTTCTTAAGTGAAAGACGATTCCTAAAATGTCTAGATTGTAGTAGGAGAATAATTAGAATGTAGGCAGCTGTTTGTGCTATTGGTCAAGTTTCCATTTGGAATCATTTAGGGGTCTTTGTATCAAAGTTTGAGCTTTTTTACAACAAATAGAATAAGTCACTTTTCACTGCAGATGAAATGATCTGAATAATGAGTTACCTGTTGAGAGTTGAATTTCATCAATTTGGATCATGTGGGGCAGGGATAAGGTGACACATCTTTTTTTTTTTTTTAAGATTTTATTTATTTATTTGACAGAAAGAGACAGAGCGAGAGAGGGAACACAAGCAGGGGGAGTGGGAGAGGGAGAAGCAGGCTTCCTGCGGAGCAGGGAGCCCGACGCGGGGCTTGATCCCAGGACCCTGGGATCATGACCTGAGCCGAAGGCAGACACTTAATGACTGAGCCACCCAGGTGCCCCGAGGTGACACGTCTTTAAAGAAACACAGATGTTCCTTTGCTCACTGTCTTTGGCCCAAAAGTCCCATGCTGCTATAAAGTAACATCTAGAAAGAAAATATTTTTGGTTCTGAACGAATTATGTGAAATAGAATTTGATTTTATACACATCAGGTGTATACGTACTGTTTGAATTAGGTGACAGAAGTGTTGTCTGGCACCATCATATTTTTTCTTTCATAAGATTGCATTAAAATATAAATATATAAAAGAAGATTATTACTTGGCCGTGTCATATATGTAAAAGACATCAATTGATCTTTTTTTTAAAGATTTATATTTGAAATATTCTGTGACTTCATTATGGCAAAATCTAAGAGGATTTAAAGAACCCTGATTCTCTCAAAGACAGAGTTGTGCCATTGTTTTGCCTTCTTGGAGTTTGGTAGACTTGAGGCTGATGTTTCCATTTTATCCTCTTGTTGATCATGCTGCTTCACCCTTTATTGCCCTGCTGATGAGATGGTTTTCTACAGCGACTGGTCAGCTTATGCACATATTTTTTCAAGCTTAAAAAACTAGCATCAGTTTAAGGTTGGAACAAGATTATTAATGTAGATCAGTTCTCTCCTAACATCAGAAAATAAGGCATAATCAACCTGAAATGGGAATTTAAATTTACAAAGCACATACATACATATACCACACAGTACTAAACTATTGAGTCCCATAAAAGAATTTCCCCCTTTTATAGGTAAAGAACTTGCTGTACGACGATTTTGAGGCAAATAGACAAAGGTTTGAATGTCAATTTTGCCATGTGTAGCTGAGTTCTTACTAGCTGGCCAACTTTTTCACTTCTCGGTCTCAGGTTCTTCAATCATAAAATGGAGAGGAAAGTATGAAATTCTAAGGACTGTTGTGAGAAATTGATAAATGTACAATCATAATTTGAGAACAAGTATGTATAAGATTTAAAATATTGAGAAAATGTGTGCATTTGGGGGAAGAAGGTAGGATTTGTGTTCTAGATCTGCATTACCCGATATAGTAGTCACTAGCCATATATGATCATTTAAATTTTAATTTAAATTAATTATGTTTAAATGAAATTTAAAATGCAGTTCTTCAGTCACATTGACCACATTTTAAGTGCAACAATAGCCATGTGGGACTAGTGTCTACGTATTGGGCAATATAGAAGAACATTTCTGTCACTGCAGAAAGTTCGAATGGACAGCACTGTTCTAGACCATTTATGGAAATAACCAAGTGGTATTTTCCCCTCTCATATTCCCCCTATTCTGGATGTTTGATCATATTTGCTTCTTTCTTATTTTTGTTTAACTCAGAATAAAGTTTTCACAGCTGAACAGTGTTCATTTCTTTAAGCAGAAAATCTGGTTCTAAACTTAGGTAATCAAAATCACTCACTCACGCTAACTAAAGGAGTCATAGAAACTCCATCCAAAAAATATATTTCTAACATTTTACTATTTTTTGCTTTTCAAAATGAAATAATGTTGAACATTTCCCCCTAAATCTTAGTAAAAATAAATATCCTTTCTGTTTCTTATTCCCAGTGTTTCTTGGGTTTATCCATCCCCATAGCCCCACCCAACCTCCATTCCCTTCTTATCCTTATATCTGAACTGTCTCTTTAAAATCTCAAGTAGTCACTGTCTCACTAATTCCCCCCTTAAAAAAAAAAATGTATCCTATGTAACACCACTGGACTGATATTCTTCAACACAGTCTTGGCTACATTACATCTATAATGTAAAACTCTTTAACAATTCCTCTCTGTGCACAAGAGAATGTTCAATATTCTTCATCTGACATTCAAGACTCCATGACGAAGGCTTCAATGACCTTTTCAACTGGATTTATTCTTTTTAGTCGCGAACCTCTATTGCAACCAAACGTTTTGATACCTAGTGAGGCATGCATTTTTGCACATCTGTTATCACTGCACTTGATTTGCTTTCTGCATTCTGCTCTGCGTATCCAAAATCTTATCCATCCTCCTTTGCCCAGTTGAAATCCCACCTCCCCTGTAAAACCAACATGAAGCGAGTAAATACTCCAACATGAAGTGTTCGCTCCCTGCAGCTATTATGATCTGTGCCTTTTGTTTACTAATGAACATTATTATGCCTATGTTCATGTCTCACACTGAAACAATGTTTGAACTATAGAATATTGGTTAAAAGCAACTTTTTTCTCTCCAATCCCTTTCCCTGCTGACACAAAAGAGATTTAAGAGGTTTGTTGACTTTAGTGCATTCATAACTTTCTGAATCTTTAACAGTGTTAAAAAATGTAAACGTTTACCATTTTAAAATGCATTTCTCTATTTCTTTTTACAGGTTCAGTTTCTGCACTGCATAAAGCAAACAGTCACTGGGGGTGATTCAGAAATTGTAGATGGGTTTAATGTATGCCGAAAGCTCAAGGAAAAAAATCCTCGCGCATTCCAGATTTTGTCCTCCACTTTTGTGGACTTTACAGACATTGGAGTGGATTACTGTGATTTCTCTGTACAATCCAAACACAAGATTATAGAGTAAGTACTATTTATACATTTCTCATAGCAATTAAATAGCTGACTGCAAAAGCTTCATTACCCTAAATCTAAAACTTAAAACAGAAGAAAGCTTCAATTAACTCCAGAGCTTATTTTTTATTAACAGTTTAATCCAATTTTAGAGGGAAAAAGAAAAAACAGAATATTTTCACCATAAAAAAATCATTATCAAATTCCATGAACTCTCTTCCTAATTATTATGAGAGAAATAACTAAGACTTTATGTACATTTGACTTTTTTCACATACAAGTTCTACAGAAGTATAATCAGTACGATTGTAGTAGTCAGAATCCTTCAGCCAGAAAGGAAAAGAATCTAACTCAAATTAGGTATAGCTGTTAGATAAATAACGTCATCTGATATTGATCTCTTTTTTCTTCATCTCTTAGCTTTGCCATCCTCTGTGTTGGTTTCCTTTGCAAAGATGTCAGTAGAAGCTCTGCATTTTCATTGTCCTCAGAGCTGGTAATCACATACACAGAAAGCCCTTGTTTCCCAATAGTTACAACAAAACTAGATGACTCACTGCCAGATTTGTATTTAAGTCCATCCTTGAAACACTCACCATGGCCAGGAAGTCAGAGAATTCAACTGGCCATTCCCGGATTACATGTTCATCTCCAGAGCAAAGTCAGTCTCATTTGTGAGAATGAAACAGGAATGTCTGCCTAAATTGATGCCAACAAAAATCATATTTCCCTGCATATGACATTTTATCATTTTTTCATTTAACATTATTTTAACATAATTTTTCTAAGTATCTACAAAGGCCACAGATTTATCCTTTTATTCGAGAATTATCTTACCTTGTGCTTTCTTGGAATTGATTTATTTAATCAGACCTCAGTTCATGAATTTTGGGGTGTTTCCAATTTTTATTTTATCTTATTTATTTATTTATTTTACTTAGTTAACATACAGCACAATATTGGTTCCTGGAGTAGAATTCATCACTTACATACAACACCCAGTGCTCATCACAAAAAGTGCCCTCCTTAATACCCCACCCATCTAGCCCATCCCCCATCTACCTCCCTCCAGCAACCCTTGGTTTATTCTCTATCTTTAAGAGTCTCTTATGGCTTATTTCCCTCTCTCCTTTATCCCCACCCCTTCCCATATGTTCATCTTTTTTCTTTCTTAAATTCCACATATGAGTGAGATCGTATGGTATTTGTCTTTTTCAGCCTGACTTACTTCACTCAGCATAATACTCTCTAGCTCTATCCATGGCATTGCAAATGGCAAGATTTCATTCTTTTTGATGGTTGAGCAATATTCCAATGTGTACATATACTACATCTTCTTTATTCATTCATCAGTCGACAGACATTTGGGCTCTCTCTATAGTTTGGCTATTGTGGATAATGCTGCTATAAACATCGGGGTACATGTATGCCTTTAAATCTGTATTTTTGTATCCTTTGGGTAAATACCTAGTAGTACAGTTACTGGGTCATAGGGGTGTTTCCAACTTTAGAGTTGCGTTTGTATTCTTCTTTTAGTAGAAGCCAAATCATATGAAAATTAACTCATTTAACAAATAATGAAATCCCCAATATACAAACTCATCTTTCTTATATAAACATATGGACTTCATTTATTCATTCAACAAGTTTTTATTGAAAGCAGCTACTCTTCTTAGTGGTTGGGATACATCCATGGACAAAACAAAGATTCCTGCCCTCATGTAGCTTAAAGCCTAATGGGGGAAAAGGAAATTCGAGATTTTAAAACAAATGAGTAAATTACAGTGACCATTAAAACATTTTTTAAGTATTTAAGAAAAAAGGAAAAGTAGGGAAGAATAAGGGGAATCCGTAGAACCAGAGACTTAGGGAAGATGGAACTTGCATTATTCATGTGTGGTGAGGAAAAGATTTCCTGAGTAGGTGATATTTGAGCATATCTTAAAATTTAATCTTTAAAAACTTAAAGGACTGAAGGAGTTTGTCCAGAAGAGGAACAGTTTCCAGAACTAGCTAGAGCAAGTGTCCTAAGAAGGCTCTAAGAACACATCTGGTGTGTTCAATGGACAGAAAGGAGGCTGGTGTGGAGCAGAGTTTTAAGAGAGGAGGTCAGACGGGAGTAAGTTCATGTCAAGCCTTGTTATCCATTGTTTAGAAACATACTGCCTTTCACTCCTAGTGAAATAGGGAGCTGCTGCGAGATTTCGAGCAGAAGAGAGACATTTATATTTATATAAACTTATTTACATTTTAAATGGGTCACCCTGGCTGTTCTGCAGAATATGGTGAAGAAGAGCAAGGGCAGGAACAGGAAGACCAGTCAGGAAGCCACTGCAGGACGGTAGGCTACAGGTAGGGTAACTTGAACGTGAGTAGCCCGTGTGGTGGTAGAGGCAGTGTGAAGTGTTTAAGGATGTGTTATGGCAAACAGCATATTTTCCTGACAGATGGGATGAAAGGTGTGAGAGAAAGATAGCCATCAGAAATAAATTCTAGTTCAGAATACTCTTCTCTGAGAGGTCAGTCACCAAGGTGGAAAAGAGAAGAAATAACTCTTGGACTCCTAGTTTTAACATGACAGTTTTAACTATTCAAAAATTACCTTAAAAATCCACAACAGATTGCATAATTTTGTTGTGGCAGAATATAATTGCAGATTCTGCAAGGCTAGTGAATGAAGGCAAAACAAATAAACAAACCCTTAGTTATTGAGTGAGATTAATTGAATGCTCCTCATCTGAATCATAATTTGTCTTTGTTATTTTTTGTAGTAGAATTCCAGAATTTGGTCATTGTCAAATGTTAAGGTCTCAGGGGATATCCCTAGAGAATATCAAGTGGTTATTGTTAATCCACTCAAAATGTATTTTTAACAACAGGGGGTGAAACAAATAGGGTTTTCAATTAATTGAGGGACTTGGTTGCCTGTGTGTTTGGGTTAATTTAATATTCCTCATGGTTAAATGTTTAACTCCTTTGAGATGTTTATGTCCTATCTAGTATAAAAAGATCTTGGAGGCTGCTGGCAGAGTTAGGGTACAATGAAGTATAATGAAAAATAAACAGATAAAGAAACTAGGAAAAATAATAATGGTGAGACTAAGCTACAGCAGTGCATCCTCATGCTTACAAATTCAATCCCATGAATACCGTTCCTACTCCTTGCCTCGTTAGTGGTGCCAATCATGGTCTAATGACTCAAACTTGCTAAGCTACAGTCATAATATTAATGCCTACCACATACAACCAAAGTGGGAATTATAGAGACAATAGATAGACTCCCCTACTGCCTGGCTCTGAAAGAGCAGAATAAATTTTTTAGCTAGCTAAAATTCTATAAAGTCCAACACAACTACTAGTGATAGATTTCAGTTTCAGCTCTGAGTTTCTACAAACCAAAGCAAGGAGGGAACATAATCTATTTGCAAGATTCAAGACACTTCTAAAGTGTGAAATAAATTTTTCCTGCAGATCCCAGTAAAATGTGATGTGGTGGGCAAACCCACAGTGACATACCCACAACAAAATCAAGTAGTCCCATCAAATATCACAACTTTCAATGAGACAGACTATTGTAACTAACAAGGAGTATCCATGGCACCAAATTTGATTGCAGGAAATGATTCTACAATCCTTTCACTGGGTTCCTTTGTTGGCATCACTGATGACATTTTGCTTTTGCTGATTTGCAGTCAGCAGGCTGCTCGTTTACATTTAAATGTGTGCCCCTTATGTATTGCTAAGAATGTAACCACTTACTCTTCGTCTTTGGAGGCTTTTTACCCTTCCTGAGCATGTAGCCCTGCTGCATTGGGACCTCCCTTTCATTCTTTGGCTGCACACAGAACACTTACCAGGACTCAAGTTTGCGTTTTAGGTTGATCTTCAAGATGTCAACCAATCATCTCCTCTAACATTGTTCAATCCTTAGAATAATGTCTTCTCTAGACCTCAAAACTAAATTTTCTTTCTTTTCCCCTCATGTCATTGCTGAAAATGCTAAATAATTAATTTGTGTCTTGTTTTCTCAGATAGAAAGTAAACACCAGGCGAAAGGAGACAGAGACTGTTTCTCTCTCGATCTCTCTCTCTCCCAGAGAGAGATCGAGAGAGAAAATATTATTATTATCTACATATGTGAACTCTTTGGAAAAGAAGAGTGTAATACAATGGTCCATGGGGCACACAATTCTGATTTTCCTTAAATTGATGAGTCACAAAATTCTTTTCATGATATATGAGGATACACACACAGACTCTAAAAGAGAGAGCTCATTACTAGCATAACAATTTCCATCAAGGAATTATGGTGTTAATGAAAAAAAATAAACAGATCACCAGAGTGCTTGTGTAGAAGACCTCCAAGAGGTTTCAAAGTCATGACAACTTTGTCGGTAACACAGAGGATGGTACAAAGGGTGTCATTATATGTACAGAAAATAGGATTGGGGAAAAGGGAGAGAGAAGGGAAATTGAGTCAGGAGCCATAAGGCTAGAATCTTAAGATTAAAAGACAAAATGGCCTCAAACTGAAAGGGTCTGAAACCCGCAGTGTAAACTCTAACATGGCAATTGAAAGGTCAGGTACTGCCCTTTGTGCCACTCAAACCTGGAGGCCCACAGTCTCTTCTGCTGACTGATGTTTTCCTTGATTCTTTGTTCATAAAGCCACAACCTGCAGGCCACAGACTATTCTTTATCTATGTGGAGAGGACGTGGGGAGGAGGGAGGGCACTCCTTGCTTATTCAGTCATATTTGCTTTTTAGTCAATATATGTAAATTCTGGTTTTAAGAGTCCAAGAGCCTTATTGAAAACCTGTTCCTTTCTTTCACTTTCTTTCCCCAGGATGGGTTCAAGAGGTAATTTTCCATCACTACCAAAATGCAAAGCGTTGGGGCTAAAGACCAGTTCTTAGAGTTTACCATTATAACTGCCTTTGGCTCAGAGGATTGAATATTAATCTGAGTCACAAATCACAGGGACCCAGAGAGCCACAATTTATATAGCACAGGCAATCACATTTTCCTCCTATACCCTGCTTGTTGATAATGGTTTACTCTGTGTGATTGGTCAGCTAAGTGTGATCTAGACCCCAAATCAATGTCACCAAGCCCTTGCGTACATGCAACCATCTCTTTGGTTTGACCCACCAGGTCTGGATCCCCGAGAGCTGTAGGATCATACTACCACCTCCTGGGCTGGCCCAGGAACAACTCTAGGCACTTTGCCACCATCCTTGCCCACCTTCAGTTTTTATCCATCCTTCCGTTTTTCTATCTAAAGAAAGGATAGAGTTGGTAGATGCTTTAGGACTGGCTGAAAGTTTACCTTCCCAATAAGTTTAAAAATATATCTTCCTTTTGCTTCCATGTATAGACAGTGCTCATGCTGTGCTATTGATAATGAGCATAGCTTAAATTAAAAAATAATGGTATTTTTTTTACATCAAAAGTAATATTACCTTACATTGTCATGATCATGATGCATATTCTAAGGAAAGATAGAGAGATCACAATATACTATCTCAAAAGTACTAAAAAGACTTTGGTATTCTCCCAAGGTACTGAAAAAAGCATAGAGAATCACATATGCAATGAATATTTACTAACTGCCTACTATGTGCAGGCTCTATGTTAAATGCTGAGAATACAACATTAAATGAGATAGAGTATTGGTGTTTTAGAAGCCTATATACCAAGATACATAGTATAGATAGAGTCTTAAGTGTGAAATAAATTTTCACATATCCCCCAAAAACATATCCCAGGCTAGATTCTTCTTTTCTCTGTGTCTTGGTTTCCCTACCTGTAAACTAGGGATTGAATTAGAAGAGTGAATTTCAAACTTTTAGAAAATAGATTTTTCTTCCCAATCATGCTTCAGAAAAATTATACTTAAAACCCTAATAAAGTGGTTGACCCATGAACTTGTAACATTAAAAATACTTTAATACATAAAAGCTACTATTTTAAAAAATGAAGAATGAATTCATATCCCGAAATATATAAAAAAATTTTTAACTGGAATCTTTCAGTAACTTTTATTTTAAATTGATTTGAATCATTCTGGCATTTATGTAGTGGTAAGTCTTCAAAAAATACCTGCTAAATGGATGGCCAACATGAAAAGATACTCAACATCATTAATCATCAGGGAAATGCAAATCAACACCACAATGAGCTATCACCTCACATCTGTCAGAATGGCTAAAATCAAACACACAAGAAACAGCAAGTGTTGATGAGGATGTGGAGAAAAAGGAACCCTCGTGCACTGTTGGTGGGAATGCAAACTGGTGCAGCCACTGTGGAAAACAGTACAAAGATTCCTCAAAAAGTTAAAAATAGAATTACCCCACAATGCAGTAATTACACTATGTAGAATTTAAGAAACAAGACAAAGGGAAAAAAAGAGACAAACCAAGAAACAGACTCTTAGCTACAGAGAACAAATTGATGGTTGCCAGAGGGGAGGGGAGCAGGGAAATAGGCAAAATAGGTAAAGGGGATTAAGAGCACACTTATCTTGATGAGCACTGGATGATGCACAGAATTGCCATATCCCTATATTGTACACATAAAGCTTAATATAACACTGTATGTTAACTATAATGAATTTAAAATCCTTTAAAAACTGCTAAATGAATGAATAAAGAACAAATGAATACATCATACCACAGATAGCCATAATACTTTTGTACATGTTTTTGGATTCTTTAATACTATATTTCAGACATATCTTCCGAGATAAATTGACCCTCAGAAATGTAAATAAATACTTCATGGCTTTTTAACTTTTTTCTCTTTGAAAAACAGATTAGATGATAAAGGTCAAGTGGTTCGCATCAACTTCAATAATGCAACCAGAGATACAGTATTTGATGTACCTGTTGAAAGAGTTCAGCCTTTTTATGCTGCTCTGAAGGAGTTTGTTGACCTCATGAACTGTAAAGAATCCAAGTTTACTTTCAAGATGAATCCAGGTCAGTGAGCACATTTTCTTAAGCAACTGAAAACATGCATGTTCTTCAACCTTAACCATGTAGAGCATTATCTAGAGCAGTTTTTCTCAAATGTGGCATGTGAAACACTTAGAATCTTTGTGAGCAGCCCCCATCCCTGCTCTGTTGCCTCTCCAGACTTAAAAATACTCATTCTTTACAAATTCTTAGGGAATCTTTAAGCACACTGAAATTTAATAACCTCCAACCTAAAGAAGAAATATGTGAAAGACAAGCTACAAGCCAAATGAAATCTCATGTCTGAGGTCAAGACTGATGACTTTTATTTTCTGTCCTGATAGTCAATATGAACTGAGGTTTCTGTTTGATTCTTCTATCCCAGTAAACAAATAAAATTATCCCCATGATTCTCACTCATGAAGTACATGAGTCACTTTTACTCATTTAACTTACCTGATCTGACAGAGATAGTGCCACCTAAAATAAAGCAGTATTGGAAGTAGTCCAGCTATGTGAAATAAAGGAACAGAAAGCATTGTATTTGTTCTGGACCATCTCTACTCAGTGAAGTGACCTCAAACTTGAGGCTTTCCATATCTATTAGTAAAAAGCAGGATTTCTCTCTACTGTTGATTTGGCCAAGTGGGAGATACTTTTAACTTTTGATTATTTTTTGAATTGATCTTTGGCATGATAAAGTAATACTAGAAATCTCTATAAATCCACTGATCTGCAGTCACCACAGGCTGATTTTAAGAGCAATAACATATGAAATTGAAATACCAGGAGAGAAAAATACCAAAAAAATAGAAGTTGGAATCCAAACTCCACTATTTAATGGTAGTGTTGCTTCAGGCAAATTCCTCAACTTCCTGGAGCCTCAGTTTCCTCAAACGAAAAGATGAGCTAATACTCTTTTCAGGATTTTTAGGAGGCTTAGAAATAATGTACACAAAATACTGGGAACATAGAAGACAAACCAAGTCACTATCCTTAAAATTATTTGAAGCTGTTAAACTGGAAATAAACATTTCTAAGTAAGAGCTAAATAACAACAAGGAAGAACAATTCAAAGTTTTACACGAAGATAGTATTTTAAATAGACATTATAAAAGTGTCTACAGATGCCTGTACTTTAAATGTCAAAAGGTCTAAAGCAGTTTGTGTCCAATGGCCTGATTTCTGTGAAAAATAAATGTACAGTTTTCAGTCAGAGAAAGACAAATAACGTATGATTTTACTCATCTGTGGAATTTAAGAAACAAAACAGATGAATATAGGGGGGAATACAGAGAGGGAAGCAAACCATAAAACAGACTCTTAACTATAGAGAACAACTGAGGGTTGCTGGAGCAGAGGTGGATGGGGGGATGGGCCAAACGGGTGATGGGTGTTAAGGGGGACACTTGTTGTGATGAGCACCTAGTGCTGTATGAGAGTAATGAATCACTAAATTCTACTCCTGCAACTAATATTACACTATATGTTAACTAACTAGAATTTAGATAAAAACTTGAAACAAAAAACCCAAACAAATAAACATAACTGTTTCTTGATGCGAACAAAGTAGCAATGTTATTTTGCATTTTATATTTTCTAGCTCTGCAAATCATTTAAACTCATGATTATTCATGTTGAAAAAATCTTTTGTCTAGGTGATGTGATTACTTTTGATAACTGGCGCTTACTTCATGGCCGACGTAGCTATGAAGCAGGAACTGAGATATCCCGCCATCTAGAAGGAGCTTATGCCGACTGGGATGTAGTGATGTCAAGGCTTCGTATCTTAAGGCAGAGTATCCAGAACAGAAGCTGAATCTCCTGTCTATAATTTCAGTAAGATTCCAATTATAAGATATGGCAAGGTTGTCTTCACAGACCAGGATCCATGTCATTTACATATTAATTTCTTTCACATTGAACATGTCACCTTTCTTGGGCGGGTTTTCTTTTCTTCATAATCATATATAATGCCAATTTTTTAGATGTTTTAGCAGTGTTCTTTTCAAATAAAGCATCTCTTCTGCTCTATTGCATGTATGATCTAATTTCTTTTGCCTGTATATGAGAGTCTCCAGAATGCCTACAAATAGTTTTGTATCAAATAAAACTTTTTCAAATAAAGCCTTTTTTAAATAAAGCTTTTATTTCAAATAAAGGTTGTGTTTCAAATAAAACTTGTCTCAAATAAAACATGTTTCTGCTCTGTTGCCTGTAGAGTCTCAGTTTTCATGACTGCATGTGACTGTCCCTAGCATGATTGGAAGAAGGCTTCATATTTTCAAAGATCCGTTTTATTCACTTTTATTATAGATTTCTATTATCCAAATTTTCAGACCTCAACACCATGTGATCTCAACATTTTCTTTAACAGCTGAATTATGACACCAAACTCAAACATGTCAAATTAAGAAAAAAAACCTAGTCTCCCTAAGTTTTTCTTGCCCTAAGTAAACATTCCTAAGGATTTCCAGAATAGCTTACACCTGTCTGTGAATCAGTTCTCATTCCTTGCCTTCAATTAATAACTAGGAAAGTTACAACCAAGGTGCACGCAACTCTCCAAACACAGACACGATATCTGCTAACTTCAGGACAGCTTCACCTGCTGATCTTGCCTTCCTCTATGGCCACTCCTTGTCCCCAGTGGTGGAACACAGATGTCACTGCCAGCCATGAAAGTCCCGTTCCTGTTAAGCCCAGTCCCTTCCCTACCCCTGCTGAAAGCAAATTACCATTTGCTGAAATCATGGTAATACATAGATTTTTAGTTGATACTTGTGGGGACCTAACCAGCCCTCTTATTTTTAAAGTATTAATGACTGTCACCACTGTGGAGCTCTACCTGTTGCCTTAAGACCAAATGAAAACTCTACTTCCATCCATGTGTTACTTCTACTTTGCACTCACTGGGTGTCCATGGCACTGGGAGGCTAGATCATAGGTGTTGTGAGCCCACATCAGCACACCCCTCTGATTCTCTAAACTCAGTGAGTCCACATCACCAGCCCAGACTCCCCTTTCCCTGGCAACACTGTCTTTTTCTGGGCCTTTGTTGTCCTTTCCTATCATCTGGTCTTGATCGAGGTTATGGTAATATATCATGTATGATTAGTGTCTTTGAACTAAAAGAAATGGGTTGGGTTCTCAACCCCATCTCTTGTAAAGCACTCCTATTGAACAGGTGAGTTCAATAGAGGCACGGCCTGATTCTAACAGGCAGCATTCAATAGCTAAAAATAATTTTCTGTAGTGACCCTAGCCTCATCCATTTACAGCATCTAAACCCTAGGCACTTGCCAGGCTAAAGTGACTTATTATACTTTTATTCTTTCAGCAGATATTTATCATATAGCTGGTATACGACATGCACTCTGCAAGACTAAGGACAGAGAAGGACTCGAGACTTGCCTGATTATAGTCTGGTAGGGGAACAGATAAGAATATAGATGATGATATGTTATATTAACAGAATAGTTCATAGGAAGGCAACCAAGCCAGACTGAGAAGATTGATCAAAGCTTCAGACTGAGTTGAACGGGTGTCAATAGTAGTTTTTCAGGCAAAGAAGGGAACATAACAGTCCAAGTCGAAGGACAGAAGAGGCACAGAGAACTGAGAGTGAACAGAGTGCATGTGTTGACTTAAAGTGAAAAATCGTGGACCAGCAGTGGTGTAAATTCTGGGACTGGATGCCTAGGTTCAAACTATAATGATGACAGTTAACTGTGTATTTGAGCATATAACATCTTCCCTGAAGCTTCAGTTTTTCTATCTATAAGTGAGACTAGTAACAGTTCTGATCTCATTAAACTTTTACGAGGATTAAATGAACGTTCATGTAAAGCAATGTTTTCCCAGACTTCTCAAATGATGAGTCACACGTTGATTTGTGTGTGTGTTGTTTTTAAGTTTTTTAAGTTTATGTGTGTGTGTGCATGCATATATATACACACACACATACATCTTTTTTTGTTTTTTTAAGTTTTTATTTTAATTCCAGTTAACATACCATCAGTTTGTTCTCTGTAATTAAGAGTCTGTTTCTTGATTTGTCCCCCTCTCTTTTTTCTTTGCTCATTTGTTTTCTTAGATTCCACATATGAGTGAAATCATATGGTATTTGTCTTTCTCTGACTGACTTACTTCACTTAGCATAATACACTCTAGCTCTATCCATGTCATTGCAAATGGCAAGATTTCACTTTATATGGCTGAATAATATTCATTGTGTGTGTGTGTATATATATATATATATATATATACACACACACACACACCACATCTTCTTTGTATACCTGGACTGCTTCCATATCTTGGCTATTGTAAATAATGCTTCTATAAACACAGGGGTGCATGTATCCCTTTAAATTAGTGTTTTTGTATTCTGTGGGTAAATACCCACTAGTACAATTGCTAGATCATAGGGTAATTCTAATTTAACTGTTTGAGGAACCTCCATACTGTTTTCCACATTGGCTGTACCACTTTACATTCCCACCAACAGTGCAATGAGGGCTCCTTTTTCTCCACATCCTTGCCAACACCTGTTATTTCTTGTGTCACTAATTTTAGCCATTCTGACAGATGTGAGGCGATATCTCATTGTGGTGTTGATTTGCATTCCCCTGATGATGAGTGATGTTGAGCATCTTTTCATGTGTCTGTTGGCCATCTGGATGTCTTTAGAAAAATGTCTACTCATGTCTTCTGCCCATCTTTTAATTGGATTATTTGTTTTTTGGGTGTTGAGTTTTAGAACATCTTCATAGATTCTGGATACTAGCTCTTTATCAGGTATGTCATTTGCAAATATCTTCTCCCATTCCTTAGGTTGTTTTTAGTTTTGTTGATTGTTTCCTTCTCTGTGCAGAAGCTTTTTATTTTGATGAAGTCCCAATAATTTATTTTTGCTTTTGTTTCTCTTGCCTCAGGAGATATATCTAGAAAGAAATTGCTATGGCTGATGTCAAAAAGTTACTGCCTGTGTTCTCTTCTAGGATTTTTATGGTTCCAGGTCTCATATTTAGATCTTTAATCCATTCTGAATTTATTTTTGTGTATGGTGTAAGAAAGTGACCCAGTTTCTTTTTATCTTTTTTTTTTATTGTTGCTGACCAGTTTTCCCAACTCCATTTGTTGAAGAGACTTTTTCCCATTGCATATTCTTTCTTGCTTTGTCAAAGATTAATTGACCATATATTTATGGGTTTATATCTGGCCTTTCTATTCTGTTCCATTGATCTGTCTATTTTTATGCCAGTACCATACTGTTTTGATTACTACAGTTTTGTAATATAACTTGAAATCTGGAATTGTTTTGCTTTTCTTTTTCAAGATTGCTTTGGCTCTTCAGGGTCTTTTGTGATTCCATACAAATTTTAGAATTTGTTCTAGTTCTATGAATGTGTGTATTTTAATACAACTTCCTAGATTCATTCCCTAAAGATTATAATTCAGTGGGTCAGGAACTATATTTTTATCAAAGATCCCAGGTGATATGCCTCATCAGAAAAGTTTGAAAAATATTGATGTAAAGCATTTAGTACAGTTTCTAGCTGAAAGTAAGTACTCAACAGATGTTATCTATTATTAGTTATAATAACACAGGTTGTAGAGGAAGAGGGTAGATTAGGGTAAAAAGAGATATATGAAGCTGGAGACAGAGATGGGGCCAAGTCATGAAATGTCGAAATGTATGTTGCACTAAAGAGCTGATATTTTTATCTTGAAAGCAATGAGGAGTCATTTAAAAGTTTTTAAGCACTCGGGGCGCCTGGGTGGCTCAGTCGTGAAGCGTCTGCCTTCGGCTCAGGTCATGATCCCAGGGTCGTGGGATCGAGCCCCACATCGGGCTCCCTGTTCCCACTACCCCTGCTTGTGTTCCCTCTCTCGCTGTGTCTCTCTCTGTGTCAAATAAATAAATAAAATCTTTAAAAAAAAATAAAAAAAATAAAAGTTTTTAAGCACTAAAGAGCCTTGATCCGATATTCATTATTTAAAGATGCATTTGGCTACATTGTGGATGGAACTGTAAATGAGCAAGACCATAAATTCACTTACGAGGTTGTGAATCTATTTACTGCAAGCAGTCGGATGAGAAATTAGGAAGGATTGAATGAGAGTGCTTGGGAGAGGGACAAGGAGAGGAGAGATACTTAGAAGCCAAATCTAGAGGGCTTGAGGACCCATGGTACATAAAGAAGGAGGAAGATGTTTAAGACGTCTCCTGGGTTTCTACTTGGGAAGGATACATTAACATTGGTTCCAAGTACAAGGAGAGAAACCACAACAGCAGAAACAAGATTGTGGGCAAGAAAACAAATCCACTTTTGAGCAGACTGAATTTGAATTGCCCCCGAGTTAGTCCACTTGGCAGCAGGATGTATATGCACACACACAGCTTGGGACAGACACCTGGAATGGACAGCTCCATTTGGAAAGTATATAGATGGCAGATGAAATCATCACTTATTTTCCTGGACACATTTAGTGATTGTGACCAAGGTCACAAGCCTCATGGTAAGATGATAAGCTAGTGATACTGGCCTAGTTTGTGGAATCAGTTACACTTTAAACATAAAGAATTTGCAGTGGCTTATATTCAAACTCAGCTAGACCTCTTACATATCATATTTTGTTGCTAGAAGACAGCATTCCAAGCCAGCACCCCATGGCCTGGCTGTTTCCTTCTCTGTCAGAAATTATTTCTGCCCTGGAAAGGAGGGACAGAAGTATTGGATGCAGTTGCAACAATTTCTGAAGTGTTATAAAGGACATGACATATTATGGGCTACGGCAGCTGGTGCCGACTAAAGATGATTGGGTTTCCTGGATATAATGGTCTAAAGATTTGACTTTCCCCCAAACTCATAATAGATCTGAGGTAACTTGGACTGGAATTTACCCATATTTGGCAGCGGGGATTCTTACTGTCTGTTCCATTGCTCTGATTTGACTTGGAGAATATTAGCTGCTTGGCTGGAGTAATCGGAATAACTCCACAGGTCACGAGAATGACATGTCACAAAGTATCTTCACTGATCTCTATTTCTCCCTCCAGCCAACCACTAAAAGGTGAGCAAGTGAATATTGGTACAGGGAATTTATGCGAAAGAGGGAATTTCATGGAGGAACTGAGTGACACTGAGGGTAATTTCACTGTTCAGGAATTGAAACTAG